CACAGCCACAACACACACCCCTTTGGAGACACACAACAGTGTTTTCAGTTGTTCGCCTGCTTGAAGGGAGGAGGAGGCGGATTAATTCTAATTGCGAAGTGCGGGAGCCAGCAGAGAGGCCAGGATTACTGGGGGCTTCTCCCTGATCCACAGAGATGCTGATGGTAATGCTTCCTGCCCGACCCCTCCCAGCTGACGAGCCGGACGCACGCCACTCCCCTGCACACATGCGGCAGAGTTCAGTTTCACAAACGCAGCAGCTCTTAAGTATAGGTTGTGTGTCCCGAATCACCGGGGTTGGTGAGTCACTTCTCCCGATGAAACTTTAGCCCTCTTTCACGGCCKTGTGTGAGTCTGTGGCCCTGCGTCAGGACGGCCGCGCTGCCGTTGGTGTCTGCTGGCGTGCACGCAGCCTGCGTCGCCGCACTGACGCACTGCCTGTTCGGCGGGTTAACATGCGAGGCAAAGATCAGGCTTCTGCCGCACACGTCTGTACATCGGAACCACCGCAATCTGCGCAGTCATTCGGTGTCGTGTCGTGGCTTTTCTGCAGGAACAAAAAGTGGCTCATTTGCTCCTRTTTGAAAAGCTGGACTCTAAATGGCCACATCCTTGTTTCACCAGTTTGCCTTTTTGTTCTTCTTTCATTTCTGTATTTATTTAAATATCACAAGKCAGGATTTGTAAAATTTAAACCACTTAAAGCTGTCAAACTATCAGTAATTGTAGCTGTTTGCTAGGCTTTCAGGCTTAGTTGAAGCTGGACATTTCCTGCCCTGTCAGGCCTCTCCACCATTATAATGGATATTGTGTGAGAAGCCGCAAGCCTGCCCTCCGTCCTTTAACAAAATCATGTCAAAAAGCAATTAATATCTTAATACCTCCATCAGCGCCAACCACCAAGCCGCCAAAAGGCCAGAGTCTTTGTTTTGTTTTTTTTCCGCTTCAGTGTCGGCCGCCGCTCTGCTCTCGCCTGGCCCGTGGTTTCCTTGGTTTCATCTCCCTTTGCCCCGGTGGTCAGCTGTGGTTTTCCAGGGGGCACGGGGTAGGACGTTGTGGGCAGAAAAGGTCCACCACCCCGCCCGAGCATTAAGTACTACTCTTCAGGCCTAAGAGCTCCACTGGCCGCAGCACTGACCCCGTCTAATGCAGCGGTCCGTAGATCAACCTTGACTGAAGAGCCTCCTCTACTCTGCAGGTTTCCCATCCATTAGGAACAAACAGAGAAACACCTCAGATTACTGTGGAGCATCTGAGCTCAGGAAGGGAATGATACAGTTTTTGACTTGGGTAAATATTGTTTCTTTTTGAAAAGGATGGCTAAATCTTCTTGACAGTTTCACTTACTCATCAAGGCATGATTAAGAATATGATTAATGATATTGTCTTTTCTGTTCACAAGCCACTGGGATAAAGGAATGCTGACATTTGCATTTGTTTTGTCTTTGCAAAGCTTACAAGAGCTTAAGTTGCACAAGGTGATATTAACCACACAAGCTCCTCTACACTCAGTAAATCCCACTGAAGTGTTTTCCTCCTCTGTCATCTGTGAGCACAATACCTGGTAGCAGTTATGTTTTTATTATTATTATTATTATTATTATTATAACACAGTGCTTCAAAGGGAAGAGAAGAAGATGTTTTTGTACTTCTGAGCCGTGGCTCTACAATATTTGGTTTCTCTACATTTCCATTCATTTCTCTTGGCAGGCTCGACCTGTAACTGGTTGGAAGGTCTTGGCAGGACTAACAATAAAAGCTCATGATTAAAGAGACTAAAATATGTACTGTATATAACCCATGTGTATATTAACCACGGAGAAGAAAAATGATCAAAAAATATGTTGGTTTTTTTTCTGTTCAACCGTTGCCTGGTCACTAAGCCTTTACAATAAATATAAATGTGTCCCGTCCGTTTTGATTGCTAAATGTGTCCTCTCTGGATTATGAATCCCCATGGTGCATGCATGATTTGATCAGACTGCTTCTCTTGTCCATAAACACTTTGACACACTCACTGTCCATCCCGTCCCAGCCTGCAGGCCCACACACCTTGACCGGCCTGGGTGGTGGTGCCTTTGAGTACACTGTCGTGGTTTGGCACCGGGCCTCAGCCTGGCTCGCCTCCTCTGGACATTTCGTCTCGCAGAGCTTTTTAGAGAACAGCTATACTGCCTACTTTTACCTTGGGCTACACAGCAGCTGTAAAAACACATATACATTAGAGCGGGCTCTGTATTAATGACTTTGTGTTGGAGCCTCTGTCTGTGGCGGTGGTTCTGATATTTTAAGATGTAGCGGTTGTTGTAGTGGAGGTGGTCTCACAGAAACGCTGACATCGACTGACTTGTTCAGGGTCACCCCGGTGGTGGGGAGCGATGGAGCTGAACCAGCTGGATAGGCAGGACTTCAGGAAGTGGATTTTGAAGCATAAATACCCTGACGTGGACAATGTTAAGTGCCTGCGAAACACTGGGTTACAAGTGATTTGGCTGTAGTGAGGACTTTGTCTTTTTTTAATGACAGGTTTTGTGATTACAGGGTCTGGGCAGTGGCGTTTTCCAAAACTTTGATTTATTTTTGACGGGAGGACACAGTGAAACCAATTGAAGGGCTTGAGTTGTTGATGGTTTAAGACGAAGAGATGTTGTTTCAATCCATCATGCACAAACTCTGAGCAGGGCCCATTCTGGAAAAGATTGATTTACTATTTACCCCTCTGACAGCATAGATAGGGAAGAGTCATAATTCTGTGCACTGGGGAGATTAAATTCCTGTATCGCTGTCAGCTACATTAACTGACTTCCTGGATCTCAATTCAATTAGTACAGCTGCATTCTCTAGCATTAATAAATCAATAACGATGGCCTGCAGATAGGCATTCTGTGTACAGTATGTTGAAGACTCCTCTCTGCACACATGCACGAACACACATAACACTCGTGTGTTACAGTTTGACTCTGCACTGTTCAATAATGATTCCCAGCCCAGCTGTTGTCAGAACAGACGGCTAGCACATTAGCTCATGTTTAACTACGAAGCCGTAGCACCTGTTTGCTCAATATACTTACGAATTAAAGGCCCGGCYGGCACTCCATGGAGGAATGCATGCCTCACGCCGCTTTTCATGCCGGAGTGTCTAAAATCCTTTCATGCTGAGAAGGGGCAGCGCTGCAGCAGTTCTGGTCAAACCTTTTAAAGGGATCCCTGATTAGTTGTAACATTAGATTTTATTTGATAAACATATATTTTAACTGTAAAATAAAGACTGTAAAAATACTGTAGGCTGTTCAATTTTGTAAATTTTTAAAAATATATTTTAACACAGGTGGAGCCATTTTATTTACACACAAAGCATTCTGGGTAAATGATGACRTGGATAGGTCCTTGGTGTGAGCGAGCTATATCCACCCTGAAGGTTAATCTTGGACAATATCTGATGATCGGCTCTTTTAAATGAAACCAGAGAGCGTTGACAGAGAGGAGAAGGTAGAAATGACTCAGTCTGTAACTGAAAATATGGATGGAGGACAACAGAGCTGCTTCATGGAAGGAGGTTCTTCTTCCACCTCAGCTTAGCCTGTTAGTTTTTGCGCTAGCACTGACGCTATATTGCCTTGTATGTATTAGCACACCGCTAGCACRAAAAACCAACAAACTAAACTGAGGTCCTCCATCCATATTTTCAGTTGCAGCTGAGTCATTTTTGCGTTCCCCTCTCTGTCATGTGGATGGAAGACCTCAGTGACGAGAGGAGAATGTGTAGCACTGAGCTAATACATATGTATGGTGATAGCGTCGGAGTTAACGCTAAAGCTAACAGGCTAAGCTGAGGTTCTTCTTCCATGAAGCAGCTCTGTTGTCCTCCATCCATATTTTCAGTTACAGGCTGAGTCATTTCTACCTTCTCCTCTCTGTCAACGCTCWCTGGTTTCATTTAAAAGAGCCAATCATCAGATATTGTCCAAGATTAACCTTCAGGGTGGAYATAGCTCACTAGCAGCCTTGCACCAAGGACCTATCTATGTCATCGTTTACCCAGAATCCTTTGCGTGTAAATAAAATGGCTCCGTCCGTGTAATATATTTTAAACGTTTAGCTTAAAAATTATAAAAACTAAACAGCCTACAGTATTTTTTTAATCTTTATTTTACAGTTAAAATATATGTTTATCAAATAAAGTCTAATGTTACAACTAAACGGGGATCCCTTTAAATGGTGTTGTGCAAAATTTCATGTAATATTGTGAGCTTTTACAAGACACGAATGTGCTCGTGGAATGGGTTGAAGATGGCTCTCAGCTACTAGCATACCAAATTCTAGCGCCAAATCTGTAAAATTAACTGAATTATAGACATTCTTGTGAGTGTGATGTCTCCATTGATGTCAACAGTTATTGCTAAAAAATTAAAGTAAAAATACTGAATAACTTGTAGAGCTTGTGTTTAAAAACTCAGCCACTACCACGTCAGATTTTAGCTCAATATCTGTAAAACTGACTGAATTATAGCCAGTCTTGTGTTTGCTAAGATCAGCTAACTGCAGCATCCATCTTAAATATTATTAATTTCGAAAGGTAATCAGTATAGATGTACACCAAATGATAACTTTAGAAGTTTTATTAAAATCTGTCAAGTGGTTCATGAGATATTTTGCAAACAGGCAAATGAACACACCGCACAGACGCACACATGCAATAATAAATCTGAAAATATATGGAAACACAAGTTTACAGTACCAACCAGCTTGAATGTTGTTGCTCCATACTTTGATGTCTACTTTGTTTAAATACATTTGAAACTTTGTGCTGTATGAAAAGACACRAGCTTTGTTGTTTTCCAGCTCATTAATGCTCTGCAGCTGTTTGGAAACTTCTGTCACAGCCAGCGGAGCTGCAGAGGACAGACAAGCTATTGAAACTGACTTTTTAAACATTTCTCAAAAAAAACAAAAAACATGCCAGAATATTTTGAAATAAACCCACACTTTGACATCGCTACTGCAGCTTTTGTCATTGATTTTTCTGTTAATTGCTTTATTGGTTTTTGACGGACTCGTGCAAAGGCAGCACGGAGCATCGAGACAGTGGCCTAACGTTTGAGCGTGCAGATGATGTATCCAGATAGTCTGGAGTTTGGGTCAGCTGTCTGCAGTTTTAATATTGCGCCTGTCATAATAATCTTTGCAAGCCCCTCAAAATGCATCTGCTTCTTTTCTCCCTCCTGCACCACTTGTCAAGTGCGGAGGATCGAGGTTTTAAGGCATCTTTCATTAACGTTGTGGTTTCGGAGGATGTGATTTGTTGATCCTTTATCGTCATTTCCATCGGTTTCTGTTGCAGGCCACAGTTAACTGCTCTCCTCAACGTTTTTTCCAAAAGGATGCCCTCGTTTCTTGGATGTTGATTTCTCCCTGATTGCCCAAATCGTGTGTCACTGTGAAATGCCAGAGGCTAATTTGCCCCGTCGTCTTGATGAGACAGTTGATAAGGACATTGATTAGCTCCCCATCTGAACGAGGGAAGGATTTCATCGGGGCAAAGACACGGGGGCAACGCGGCATTCATTTCAGCAATCAGCCCACCGCCTTCCTCTCTTATTTTACATTCAGCCAAACTCTTCCCAGAGCTCCTTCAATATGGATTACACAGCTTGGTGCAGGCAGTGGTAATTTAAGGTGAAATAAAACTCTTTTAATCCTATTGGATGCAGTAGTTAGAGAGAATCAGAAAGTTGAGGTGATTAGATGTACTTGGACTCYCCTTTGATGCCCATAGATGCCTATTTCTATTTCTAGAGCTTGATTTGGTAGAARCGGTCTAGTAAGAACATCCTCAGTCAAATCCCATTCTTCTCCTCCTTCTGAATGTAATCCTTACTCTGAAGAAAGAAGAAAAAAAAGAAATCATAAGCCTTCATTATCTCCAGTCAGGCAATTTTGGGAACATAATACTGACTCGGGATTGGAGCGCTTGCCCTCATCAGGTCTGGGACCTGATCAAACCACTTGTGCAGAGAACGGGAGTTAAAGAGAAGCATGCTCGCCGGTCGGTTCAGCTCCCTTCAAAAGGCATATGGTGCGAATTTCATCTAAAGTGTAAGGGGGAGGGCTTGAAAGRGCACGCAAGCAAGTCATTGATGTGAAAAATAAGGTTGGGCTGTAAAGAACCAAATCAAACCACGGTCGGTTTTCTGGGAATGATTAAGGCCAAAGAAGAACCAGCTGCCTCATTGTCAGTCGCATCTCAATCTCCTGTTTGTGCTGGCAGCCTGCTGGCAGGGCAGAGTGAAGGGAAAGTGGTGGTGGTGGTGGTGGGTGGGGGGACATGTGCTCATCTGTTTATCAGCTTCAGCAGCTCCCAAGCTCTGAGGAACCACAGAGAAAAACAGAAGCTGAATTTGAGCATAAAAGGAACCAGAGAGTTTATGCTAAAGAGGACAAATCGTGCAAAATTCACTTTTTTAGCTGTTAAACCAATGCGTTCTCCGTCCCAGCTCGTCACATATTGACACTTGGGCAGGTTCCTTCTGCGTCCRGTTTTGACACGTCAGGTACCCCCGCCCCCTTGTGTCAGTTGTTGAMAAGATGAGAACGAGGAGGAAGAGCCCGTTGTCATATTTTTGAAATGTGTGACAACTAACTGCAATCCTAACCCTAACCCCAACCATGACCCCAAACCCTGAACTTAACCTTTATTATCCTTAAACATCAAACCCCTGACCTTACCTAACCAGTATCCCTGATCCCTAAACATAACCATGGACTCCATCATGTCGACAATTGATGTGAGAGGGGTAACCTGACCAAGCATCGATATGTGGCGAGTAGAGAGTGAGAACAGGTTGGTTAAATGCACTTTGTTGTGTACTTRGWGTCTCTAAGAGTGCGGAAAATTTGAATTTAGTTCCTTTTTGGTGCTTTGTAGATATCTTTATATTCTGTTTGGCCCATATTTTTCAACCCGTTAAGTTTTCTCTCTTTCTTATGATATTTTCTGAACTATTACGTCAAATTATTTGCAACAGAACTGCCAAATAAGGTCTGGAGTTACCAACTATATCTTGGCCGCCTTCATTCTCCTCTGGCTCTGGGTCAGACTCTGGCTCCAACATGTAATTCTGGATGGACAAGTCTTCTGTTGACATATTTTATTCAATTTGTAAGTTAAAAAGTTGCTGCGCACCTATATAGTCACTAGCCCTTCTATCAAATTTGAAGGGACACTTTGGAAGCTGGACRTGGGTGGGCTGTGAAGCGCCTTTTTGGATTTAAAAAGACAGTCTCAAAATGAGTTGATCTAGACATTCAGAAAAGGGGTGAAAGAGGGGCTTGTATAGTTACAATAAGAAGGAATTCAGATCAAAGCATCACAGTTCTACCTTATATAGATCCCAACTGAATGATTTAAATGCTAAAAAATAAGAATTTAAAAGCAAGATATGTCTCCTTTAAGAGAACAATGATTGAGAGGAAAAATAAGCAAGAGAAGAGAAACAAGAGTGACAAAGGTCAGGGTYAGAGGATAATGCAGAGAACCAGGAGTCAGGAAATACTGGCCTGCTGCTCCCCCTCGAGACGTCAAATGGAAGAGTCCCAGTATGTCCTTAAATATTGATGTGTAGTGTGAGTTGAAGGCTGATCCTTAATGTTCACTATGGCCCTGGGAGACATGGCCCTCTACAGATGAGTGTACACTTCATTTCAAATTACAGCCAATCATTTAGACAAACACTTACGCTATGTTTTTATAGCTATGCCATTCAAAACATTCAGATTGTTCATAAGAGAACTAATGGTTTATAGAAATGTTTGTTGAATTTGGCTCCTTCAACCAAGACATGTCAAGTTTAACGACAGCAGTAACTGAGACGTGATGGGGAAAAGTCATCAACCCATGACTACAATCTCATCAGGACCCTAAAAGCTTTCTTTGTCCTCCACAAGGGAGAGGTGTGAGATGGAACTGAGAGGGTGTGGGCACCAGAGGGACCGTGTAGTCCGTATTTTATGTTTCTCGGCACCATGAATCATTCAAAAAGCTCAGCGAAGCCACACAACAGTCATCTTGTCTCCGTAACTTAAAGCAATCTGTAATTTTCATCTATTAGCAATGCTCCGACATGATCCTGAGTGTCCTGATGCACACATCCACAGACCAGGAGCAATCAATGCCATTACTGATACGGTCACAGGAGTCAGGGCAGGGCACGGCCCTCTGTCTTCCATCCTAAACCACAGTCAGATCCAAAGGTGAAGGTCAAGTTGTCAGTGACTCTTCCAGCTGTAGCTTGACCAAAGAGCAGAAGGCTCAACCTTGTGCTCCGTCTGCTTGTGTGTTTTTCTCTGACCCGGGCTTTTGTCAGGGTTGTGGGCTTCGTGCTGATGACCCCTCTTAGAGGTCATTGTGGTCATGCACAACCAAGATTATGATGTTGAACATAGARGAAGGTCAGGCTCAACAATGGCCTCCTTGTTTGGAGGGTGGGGTGCTGAGGATTAGCAGGAGGGATGGGTGAATGGACCATATTGATTAGTTATCATTGAGTCCAAAAGGAAACACTTAAGGTTTCTGTGGTAAAGCCCAAGCTTTACTGTATCTGTGCCATGATCAATTCAGCTATTAGCCAGGCATGTAATCAGAAAAATCAATATTCAGTTTTGTCTGTTTTTTTTTAAATATGATTTTATTTTGAAACAGCAGTGAACAAGGATGAAAACTTTCCAGGTTGTCATCCCAGCTGGTCTCTAGTCTCAGTGCAAACACACACGGTGTCTGTATTATTGTTGTGTCACCATGGCGGTGTCTGTGTTTGTTTCTGCCTGATCGCTGACACATTACTACAGGCACAGGAATGATGACTCATGGTGTAAACTTCAAACTTGTGCCAATTGCTTCCAGTGAAAGCAGGCCTTTATTGTTGCAGAGACAGTGTTCATCGAGCAACAAATTAATTTTCTTTATCTTTCTGCAAGTCACCACAGTTTAATGCCATTTCTAAAACACTGAAATTTGATCCAGTGAAAACTGTGAAGAAAAAGTGTACCAGTTTGACTTTTCATGGCATTTGCTTGTTTGCAGTCGTTGTTAGGAAAAGTGGACTCGATTGGCAAATTGCAAATGAGCATCTGTGCAAGCGTGACAGATTTTGAGGAAAAGTCTTGATAACTAATAAAGCTAAATTAAAAGCTTGCATAAATGTATGTTTGTTGCAAAATTTGGTTAAAAATAGAATGTCCTATAGTCAAGCACAGCAGAGGATCAGTCATTATTTGGACATAGTGATGCAACACAATAAATTATCATAATGCATCATTTGTCAAATTAAATTAAAGGAGACATATGCATCTCAGTAATCCAGGTAGAAAAGTAAAAAATAAAAAATAAGGAGGTCCTCTGGACTGGTTCTTTAAGGACACATTTCTTCTCTCGTTTTGGTTGGTGCACATGATCTTCAATGAGAAATAGGTGATTATGAGGGCACAAAGGATCTATTGTTGGTCCTCTTTTGCATGTGAGCAAACAATGTTGATTGTCATTGTTAAACCTGTTTGTCCACCATATGGAGGCACTGCTTATAAGGCTGAGGCTTAAGGCTAAGGCTCCTTTATTTTGTATAAAGGATATGTATCATGCTTTTAAATCCTTTTTTCAACATTTAAATCATTCGATTTGGGTTTTTATAAAGTGAAATGGTAATGCTTTGGTCTGAATTCCTCCTAATTGTAACTCCACAAGCCCTTCTTTCAACCATTTTCTGAGGTGTGTCTTAGATCAACTCATTTTGAGGCTGTGTCTTTAAACCCAAACAAGGCRCTTCTAAWCCCGCTCCCCTCCAGCTTCCAGACCATTCCATYCCAGTTTGAGATAGGGGTTTACAACTATATGGCAGCACAGAAACTTTTTATTTACAATTTAATTAAATTATGTCAATAACAGGAGACTTGTTCATCCAGCCAAAGGAGAATGAAGACCATCAAACTGCAAYTGGTAAGCCTAGGCTTTATTTGGTATTTCTGTTGCAAATAATTTGATGTAATAGTTCAGAAAATATTTTAGAAAATAGAGAAAACTGAATGGGTTGAACAATACGACCCAAGTAGACAGACTAAATTTAAATTTTCTGCACTCCTAGAGACTCCAAATACAAAAAAAATGTATTGAACAACTAAAAAAGGTGAATTTTGCATGATATGTCCTCTTTAATATCTTGCTCACCAGTCCTTTGAGGTGCTAGCTGAAGTCTTTGGCCTCATAGTCCCACAAAACTGTTCCAACGGATCTCAGAAAACACCAAGTGTAGGACAGTAAACTGCAGCACTGAAAGCCACTGCAGGAAGAACAAAACCACCGAATGAATAAAAGTGCTAAAGGACTGTGTGGTGCTTCTAAAAGGTCAGTAAAACTTGCAATAAAGTTTTGCCCCCCTCAGGGTGTATCAAGGTGTGTGTGTCTGATGTTACATTACAAATCACAAAAAAAACACTGCACTGGAGCAAAGGAATCAGCAGCAACTATACATCTTCTGAGTTTGCTGACATATGGAAAAGTGAAAAAAAGTTTGACAATTGCCCCTCTTCTCTCTATGAGTTTTAGTCATTTTTCTCCCACTCTGCTCGTGAGTATGGATGTATTCAATCAGAAGCTGCTCCCACTGAAACATGCTCTTACACAGTGAGTGAGTAAACCTTTATGTAACCGCCAGTCGAGTGGGGAGTTCATTTGATGGAGAGCCCTGCTTGATTTGTTTGTGGCTCCAAAGAGGCTTACGACACGCAAGCTGCCCCTGTTCTGCTCTGATAAATGGTTCTGGAGAGAGGAAGGAAGGAGAAAAAGTGTGTGTGTGTGTCTGTGTGTGTGTGTGTGTGTGTGCGAGACCTCGCCAAAGACTTTGGGGTTTTTCGCAGCTTAACTATATTAAGAGACAATCCCCTACAGGCACGCATGCACACATCGAGCCCACACGTTTATATGAGGCTGTTAAATATGAACATGCATTAAAAAAAATGTTGAGCCATTCATGAGACGTCTCTCACATAAACACAGACACTGTGTGATTCCTGTTGAAGCAGTGATGTTGAAAAGCAGTTTCCATCCCGCTGCAGAGCGTGTCGCGTGTTTGCTTTGCGACGCACCTCTGCTGAAGCTGTGGTTGAGTGTTACCTGTCCCACCCAGCCAGTCCCCGGCAAAACTGCCACAGCCGATTAGCGCACTCTGCAGCTACGCTAATGATCCGTGAACCCTCGTGGGGGGAGGGGGCCCACGTGGAACCTCACGACAGCGTGTGTGTGTGGGTCCTTCACATCTGCTCGACACTTTTGTCTCTGTGGCCATTATGTGTAATGAGTATTGCTGCAGTGACCAGCTGCTGACAGGCCATGCTGTTGCCCCCACCCTATCCCCCCGCCTGACTCCTGCAGTCCACGCAAGTCATCATGTCAAAACTGGGCAGAGAGCTTGCCACTGGAACACACAGATTTGCTCCGGCTGATGGCAAACCACAGCAGTGGAGCCTGTGGTGGCCTGCATTTCCTTTAATATCCTGGCT